AATTTGTCGCTTTTTAAATTTTAAAATTTTTCACAATTTTTCTTTATTTCAATTTCGATTTTTCAATAATTTTTCAATTTTTGAATTTTCAGTTTCCCGGTCTTCTGATTTTTTAGATTTTTTAATTTTTCAAGTTTCCGATTTCTCAATTATTTGATTTTTAAAAATATCGAGAAAATAGATGTTAAAACATCTGATTTTTTTTTCTAATTTTCAATTTTTAACCTTTCAATTTTAAATTTTTGAATTTTTAGATTTTTCGATTTTTTTTTTAAATTATGGTTCGAATAAATTCTTTTAGTTAACAAATCGAAAAAATGACAAATCGTGAAAAGGAAAAATTTTAAAATGGAGAACTTGAAAAATTAAAAATAAAAAAATTGCAAAATTGAAAAATCAAAAAAACTCGAAAATTAGCAAATCAAACAATTGTAAAATCGAAACGTGAAATCCTATTTTTTCTATTTTTCGATTTTTCAATTGATCGATTTTTCGATTCTCACTTTTTCAATTTCGCATTTTTTAGATTTCCCAATTATCTGTTTTTCACTTTCAATTGTAAAGTTAAAACTTGAAAAATCAAAAGATTGGAATTAAAAACTGCAAAATTGTCAAACAAATTATTATCAAATGAAATATCTAAAAGTTGAAAAATTTAAAAACTAAAAAACATGAAAACTGAAATTTAGAAATCGATTTTATACGATTTGTTTTTTTTTTCAATTTTTCGATATTTCAATTTTTGATTTTCGGATTATACAGTTGAACAATTTTCCGATTTCTCATTTACCCGATTTTTCAATTTGTCGATTTTTGATTTTTATTTTTAGCAAGAACTAGCCCCGCCCACCCAGCTTTATTTTCCAATACGTCATCTGCCAAAATCAATCTTATCTAGCAAGTAGGTACTAGCCCCGCCCACCCCCCCTTTATTTTCTTGGAAGAGTGGGTCATCTGCCAAAATCAGTCCTATCTTGACAAATACTAGCCCCGCCCACCCACCCCTATTTTCTTAGAGGATATGTCGTTTGCAAAAATCAGACTTATACTTGACAAGATAAGATTGATTTTGGCAGATGACCTATTCTAAGAAAATAAAGGGTGGGTGGGCGGGGCTAGAACTTTTTCTTAGAAGAGTAGGTATTTGCCAAAATGAGTCCCATTCTGGCAAATACTAGCTCGACCCGCCCGTCTTTTATTTTCTTAGAGGGTAGGATATTTGGCAAGTACTAGCCCCGCCCACCCACCCTTATTTTTTTAGAGGATGTCATTTGCAAAAATCAGACTCATACTTGACAAGAGAAGATTGATTTTGGCAGATGACTTAGTCTAAGAAAATAAAGGGTGGGTGGGCGCGGCTAGTACTTTTTCTTAGAAGAGTAGGTTATTTGCCAAAATGAGTCTTACTTTGGCAAATATTAGCCCCGCCCACCCACCATTTATATTTTTAGAAGAGTGGGTCATCTGCCAGAGTCAGTCTTATCTTGACAAGTACTAGCCCCGCCCACCCACCCTTATTTTCCTAGAGAATATGTCATTTGCAAAAATCAGCCTCATACTTGCCAAGATAAGATTGATTTTGGCAGATGACCTATTCTAAGAAAATAAAGGGTGGGTGGGCGGGGCTAATACTTTTTTTTAGAAGAGTAGGTCATTTGTCCAGCCCGCCCGGGCTTTGTTTTCTTGGAAAGTAGATCATTTGCCAAAATCAATCTTATCGTAGCGAGTACTACTAGATTTTTCAGTTTTCTATTTTTCAACTCTGGAATTTTTCAATTTCTCGCTTTTTAAATTTTCAAATTTTTGATGTCTTTCGATTTTTTATTTTTCTGGGCAATTGAAAAAAACCTTTCGATTTTCTAATTTTACAATTTTGGCAGTTTTCCGATTTCTCCAGTTTTCGATTTTTGATTTTTTTTTAATTTTTCGATTTTTGAATTTTGTGACGTCATCGAGTTTTTGGTGGAGGTAAGAAGTAAATTTTGAGCAGCGATTACATGTTTAGCGTATCCTTAACACATTTAAAAAATTTAATTTTTTGATTTTTCGATTTTTCAACTTTCAAATTTTTAGATTTTTCGATTTTTTTCAAAATTTTGGTTCGAATAAATGTGTCCTTTTAGTTAAAAAATGGAAAAAAAAAAAGGACAAATCGTGAAAAGGAAAAATTTTAAATCGAGAACTGGAAAAATTACAACTCAAAAAATTGCAAAATTGAAAAATCAAAAAATTGGAATTAAAAACTGCAAAATTGTCAAACAAATTATCAAATGAACTATCCAAAAGTTGAAAAATCTAAAAACTAAAAAAATTAAAACTGGAATTTAGAATTCGATTTTATAAGGTTTGTTTTTTTTTTAATTTTTCGATTTTCCGATTATACAGTTGAACAATTTTTCGATTTCTCATTTATCCGATTTTTCCATTAGTCGATTTTTGATTTTTATTTTTTTTTATTTTTAGCAAATACTAGCCCCGCCCACTCACCCTTTAGTTTCTGAGAACAATAAATTATCTGCCAAAATTAATCTTATCTAGCAAGAACTAGCCCCGCCCACCCACCCTTATTTTATTAGAGGATATGTCATTTGCAAACAGCAGTCTCATACTTGACAAGATAAGATTGATTTTGGCAGATGCCCTAGTCTAAGAAAATAATGGGTGGGTGGGCGGGGCTAGTATCTTTTCCTGGAAGAGTAGGTCATTTGCCAAAATGAGTCTTATTTTGGCAAATATTAGCCTGGCCTGCCCGCCTTTTTTTGTTAGAGGGTAGGTTATTTGGCAAGTACTAGCTCCGCCCAACTAGTCTTTATTTTCTGAGAACAATAAGTCATATGCCAAAATCAATCTTATCTAGCAAGTACTAGCCCCACCCACCCACCCTTATTTTCTTAGAAGAGTGGGTCATCTGCCAAAATCAGTCTTATCTTGACAAGTACTAGCCCCGCCCACCCACCCTTATTTTATTAGAGGATATGTCATTTGCCAAAATCAGTCTCGTCTTGACAAATACTAGCCCCGCTCACCCACCTTTTATTTTCTTAGAAAAGTGGGTCATCTGCCAAAATCAGTCTTATCTTGACAAGTACTAGCCCCGCCCACCCACCCTTATTTTCTTAGAGGATATGTCATTTGCAAAATCAGACTCATTTTTGACAAGATAAGACTGATTTTGGCAGATGACCTATTCTAAGAAAACAAAGGGTGGGTGGGCGGGGCTATTGCCTTTTCTTAGAAGAGTAGGTCATTTGCCAAAATTAGTCTTACCTTGGCAAATACTAGCCCGGCCTACCCGAGTTTTATTTTCGTACAGGGTAGGTTATTTGGCAAGTACTAGCTCCGCCCACCCAGCCTTTATTTTCTTAGAACAATAAGTCATATGCCAAAATCAATCTTATCTAGCAAGTACTAGCCACGCCCGCCCACCGTTATTTTCTTAAAAGAGGTCATTTGCAAAAATCAGTCTCATCATGACAATAACTAGCCCCGCCCACCCACCCTTATTTTCTTAGAGGATATGTCATTTGCAAAAATCAGACTCATACTTGACAAGATAAGATTGCTTTTGGCAGATGACCTATTCTAAGAAAATACAGGGTGGGTGGGCGGGGCTAGTACTTTTTCTTAGAAGAGTAGGTTATTTGCCAAAGTGAGTCTTATTTTGGCAAATATTAGCCCCGCCCGCCCACCATTTATTTTTTTAAAAGAGTGGGTCATCTGCCAAAGTCAGTCTTATCTTGACAAGTACTAGCCCCGCCCACCCACCCTTATTTTCTTAGAGGGTATGTCATATGCAAAAATCAGACTCATACTTGACAAGATAAAATTGATTCTGGCAGATGACCTATTCTAAAAAAATAAAGGGTGGGTGGGCGGGGCTAATACTTTTTCTTAGAAGAGTAGGTCATTTGCTCGATCCGCCCGGGCTTTAGTGAGTAGATCATTTGCCAAAATTAATCTTATCGTAGCGAGTACTACTAGATTTTTCAGTTTTCGATTTTTCAGCTTTCGAATTTTTCAATTTCTCGCTTTTTAAATTTTCAAATTTTTGATGTCTTTCGATTTTTGATTTTCCTGGGCAACTGAAAAACACTTTCGATTTTTTAATTTTACAATTTTGGCAGTTTTCCAATTTCTCCAGTTTTCGTTTTTTTTTCTCGATTTTTGATTTTTTTTTAATTTTTCGATTTTTGAATTTCGTGATGGCGCTATCGAGTTTTTGGTGGAAGTAAAAAGTAAATTTTGATCAGCGATTACATGTTTAGCGTAACCTTAACACATTTGAAAAATTTTATTTTTTGATTTTTCGATTTTTCAACTTTGGAATTTGATAAATTGATAAATTACAGAATTGTAAATATCGAAAAATAAGAACGAAAACTTCTTTATTTTTCCTAGTTTTATCTTTTGCTTTAATTTTTCGATTTTTGATCAGTGTATATTTTTTAAAGTGAAATTTTTATTGCGTCTAAAAATAATTGGTTTGAATTTTGTACCGACTTCTAGTATAGTCTGCCAAGAAATGTAGTGGTTTTTAGATTTTGACTCGTCGCTAGTATGTCACCGAATAATCCAGGTTAGTAGATGCAAATTTATGCTACTATCCCAAACTTACTAGTTGAGAGTTAGGGGTTGGAAAAGTCAAAGCCATAAAACCACAATTTTCGTTGGTGCACTATACAATTCTAGCAAAACTACGACGTCACGCTTGATCTATTTCCTCAGCGTCTCTAAAACTTTTCTAAAAAGAGAATTGAAAAAAATTGTTTGAGCTTTCTGTTAGATTGTGTACCACGATAAGAGGCCACGTTTGAATAATTTCTGCATTATTGGCAATTAATCCTTAATTAACGTTTTTGCCAGTTCCAACCAAGCGCTCCTTTCTCTCATTAACAGCATAATCTCGTCGACAGATCGCTCCATCTCTGCGCGATTCGTCGACACCCAAATAAGCGCGACCCGCAGCCGTGCCCTCAAACCCATCAGTTGTTCAGTTTTACCTGTTGCGACAATTTGGTCATGTCGACGGGCTTGACCCGCTTGAGCGCTGTGAGCCGCTCCAGGCGTTCTTGGGCCTGCTGCTCCACGGCGATGACGAAGGCATCTTGAACGTTGCCTGCACACAAGTCTAAATCGACCGCTGCAACAAACAACAAAGTTCACCAACTCTTCCAACTCAAACACGCCGGCTTCGGCGCCCGCGGCCTATGCAACCCTCCGTTCGCGCCACGCCGACCCCACCGCATCCTCGTCGTTTTGTTCCGGCGCCGAAACCGCGAACAGCCGGCCGAAGCTGCGCCGGTTTTTCGCGTCCGGGGCCGGTTTCCCGGAATTTGGGCCCGCGCGGTGGCGCCCCCTCGTAACCCAGTTCCGCGGTGCCCCCTCGGGTCGCTGACCGGAGCCGGCTAACTGTACCGGTCTCGCCTCTCTTGTGCAAGAGCGGCGAAATTCCGCGATTTGCATGAGATTAAAAGGGCGCAAATGGGCCTGTGTGTGTTTGACATTCATGAGTCACTTTCTCGTTTGTCTAGGCAAACAAACGCGAAACAATGCAAATTTGCGGACGGAATTTCAAGCACGGATCATTTTTTCGTGTCAAAAGCATGAATGGAATAATTGCGAGCTGCGGAGCTAATTTAACCTCAATTTGGGGGAGAGCGACGCGAGGAACTTTTACGGCACGAGCGGCGAATTGGGAGGCCAGGGGCGGGATTTTGTAAATGGAGCCTCGAGGGTCCGCACGATTTTAGGCGAGGATTTGTTCAACGACGCTGGTACTTGCGTCAAAATTCAAAAATACACTATTCGCGACGTTTAACATTTAGCGAAAACTCGCTTGTGATTGGCCACTTCGTTCTAAGAAAACGTACAGTTCTATAAATGACGTCTTCACTGTTTTTTTTTTGTTATCTGGATATCCAACGTAAAAAAATAGTCAATTTATTTTGCAAAATTTTGAGACGTCATCAAGTTGTTGATGCGGATGATGACATGAATTTTGGTTAATGTTTTGCCATTTGTATGATATTAATTTTATACCAATACGATTTTTTGTTTTTACAATTATTTACTTCCACTTACACAATTTTCCGATTTCTTAAACTATTTTTATTGGCTCGTCTTTTGATTTTTTTATTTTTCGATTTTTGATTTTTTAGTTTAAATTTTTCAATTTCCCACTTTATAAATATTTAATTTTTCGATTTTTCATTGTTATATAATATTTTTTTCAATTTTTAATTTTGCTTTTCAATTATGTATTTAAATTTTCAATGTTTTGTTTTCAATTTTTCGAAATTTTGATTTCGCAATTTTGCAATTTTGCGATTTTCTGATTTTTCCGATTTTACATTTTTCGGTTTCCAATTTTACAATTTTCCAATTTCTCAATTATTCAGTTTTTTTGTTCCAACTTTTCGAGTTTTCTTTAACGTTTCAAGTTTTCGATTTTTCAAAATTTCAGTTTAAATAAATTTGTTCTGTTTGTTGAAAAATTGAGAAAATGGAAAATTAAAAATTGAGAACTTGAAACATTCAAAATTGAAAAAACGAAACGTGAAATCCATAATTGTTTTTTTTAATTTTTTGATTTTTCAACTTTCCAACTTTTCAATTTCTCGGTTTCTAAATTTTCAATTTTTCGATGTGACAAGTTTACATTTTTTTATTTTTCCAATTTGTCGATTTTTATGTTTTTCAATTTTTAAATAATGTTTACGATTTTTCAATTTTTAAATTATTCGATTTTTAATGTTTCGATTTTTCATTGTTTCGTTTTTTCAGTTTTTCGATTTTCCAGTACTCCAAAGTTATTTTTAATTTTGAAGACTTAAATATTTTTTTACCAATACGATTTTTTGTTTTTACAGTTTTTTACTTTCCAATTGCACAATTTTCTGATTTCTTCAACTATTTGATTTTTCAATGTTCAGATATTTTTATTCTCTCGGCTTCTGATTTTTTATTTTTCGATTTTTGATTTTTCAGTTTAAATTTTTGAGTTTTTCAAATCTAATAAATTTCAATTTTTCAATTTCCCGCTTTCTAAATGTTCAATTTTTCCATGTTTCAATGTTCGGTTTTTGCAATTTTACAATTTTGACTTTCAATTACTTATTTGAATTTTCAATTTTTTGTTTTTCAAATTCTCGTAATTTTGCGATTTTCTAATTTTACAATTTTGGTATTTCCGATTTTTCAATTATTCAGTTTTTCAGTGTTCCACTTTTTCGAGTTTTTTTGATTTTTCAATTTTTCGACTTTTCAAAATTTCAGTTTGAGTAAATTTGTTATTTGTTAAAAAATTGAAAATGAAAAAATTGAGAAAATGAAAAATTAAAAATCTAGAATCGAAAAATTCAAAATTGAAAAAACGCAAAATTGTAAAGTTCAAAAACTGAAAAATCAAAAAATCATTGATTTGTTTCTCTTTTTCGATTTTTCAACTTTCGAACTTCTCAATTTCTCACTTTTTATTTTTCACTTTTTCGAGGTTACAATTTTACAATTTTTTTTGTTTTTTCAATTTTTGATTTTTCGATTCATCAATGTTTCGACTTTTCACTTTAACTGCAAAATTGTTATCTTCTGATTTCTCAATTATCCGATTTTTAAAAATATCGAGAAAATAGATGTTTATTTTTTTTAATTTTCGATTTTTTATTTTTTTAACAAATTTTAACTTGAGAACTTGAAAAATTTTAAATCAAAAAATTGCAAAATTGGAAAGTTAAAACTTGAAAAATCAAAAGATTGGAATTAAAAACTGCAAAATTGTCAAAAAAATTATCAAATGAAATATTCAAAAATTGAAAAATCTAAAAACTAAAAAATATGGAAACTGGAATTTCGAATTCGATTTTATAAGATTTGTTTTCTTTTTCATTTTTTCGATATTTTAATTTTTGATTTTCCGATTTCTCAATTATCCGATTTTTCAATTTCTCGCTTTCTAAATTTTGCAATTTTTCGATTTTTCAATGTTATAATGTTCGGTTTTTGCAATTTTTCAATTTTCCTTTTCAATTATTTGAATTTTCAATTTATCATTTTTCAGTTTCTCGAACTTTCGATTTTGCAGTTTTGTAGTTTTGCGATTTTCTAATTTTACAATTTTGGAATTTTCCGATTTTTCAATTATTCAGTTTTTCAGTGTTCCACTTTTTCGAGTTTTTTTGACTTTTCAAATTTTAATTTTTTTCAAAATTTCAGTTTGAGTAAATTTGTTGTTTGTTAAAAAATTGAAAATGAAAAATTGAGAAAATGAAAAATTAAAAATCGAGAACTAAAACATTCAAAATTGAAAAATTGCGAAATTGTAAAGTTCAAAAACTGAAAAATCGAAATATTCCAAGGTTGAAAATAGAATATTCTAAAAATTCATATTAAAAGCTCGAAAATTAGCCAATCTGTAAAATCGAAACGTGAAATCATTGATTTTTTTTTCTATTTTTCGAACTTTTCAATTTCTTGCTTCTTAATTTTTCACTTTTTCGAGGTTGTAACTTTACAATTTTTTTTGTTTTTTCACTTTGTTGATTCTGATTTCTCAATTATCCGATTTTTAAAAATATCGAGAAAATAGATGTTTATCTTTTCAAATTTTCGATTTTTGACTTTTTTTTTAAATTTTAACTTTCTCTTAGAGGATATGTCATTTGCAAAATTTTTCAGTTTTGTCCATTTTTGTTTTTTTAATTTTTCAATACTCAGTTTTTCGATTTTTCGAATTTTCATAATTTCAGTGTATTTTGTTGAAAAATTGAGAAACGGAAGCCAAGAAGATGAAAAATTGAAAATCGAGAACCGAAAAACTGAAATTCAAAACCTAAAAAACCAAAAATTGGTAAACCGAAAAATCGACTTTTTTTTCACAGTCGTATTGAAGAAGGGAATTTAGAAATTGATAATCCAACAAATAAAATAATAATTGAAATTTAATTAAAAACAGGAACATTTTCACATTAAACAATTGTAAAATCGAGGAACAAAAAAAAACAAAAATAGAAAAATGGAATAATCGAAAAGATATTTTTTATTATATTTTTGGATTTTTTCAACTGGCGAATTTTTCAATTTTTCATTTTAATTTTGTTTTTGTTTTTTCAATTTGTCGATTTTTCAATTTTTAAGTTTTTCACTTTTTAAATAAAATTTTTGAATGCTTCGTTTTTTCAATTTCTCAATTTTTCAATATTCAAGTTTTTTAATTTTGCACTTTTCAGCTTTCCTAATTATCGGATTTTTCAGTTTATTGATCTTTAATTTTTAAATTTTTCGATTGGACAATCTTTCGATTTTGCAATTTTGTATTTGTGCGATTTCTCGATTTCTCCGATTTTCCATTTTTCGACTTCTAATTGTACAATCCTTTTTTTCATTTTTTTATTTTGCCGATTTTTGGAATTTTAATATTTCGATTTTATCAGTTTTCTGATTTTTCGAATTTTCAAAATTTCAGTTTCTTTTGTTAAGAAATTGAAAAATGAAAGCCCAGAAAATGAAAAATTACAAATCGAGAGCTTGAAGAATTAAAATTCCAAAAAATTGAAGACCTAGAAACCTCAAAAATTGAAAAATCCAGAAATGAAAAACTTGAAAATTAAAAATTGATAAACCAAAATTTTTTTTTCAAAATCGTAAAATTAAAAAATCGAGCAAATAAAAAAAATTAATTTAAAAAGACGAAAATTTTCAAGTCAAAATTGTAAAATCGAGGAGCAATAAAACAAAAATCGAAAAACGGAATAACTGAAAAAAATTTCTCATTATTGCATTTTTCGATTTTTCATCTTTGGAATTTTTCAGTTTGTCACTTTAATTTTTCAATTCGTCGATTTTTCGATTTTTCAATTTCTCGGTTTTTCTTTGAATAAATTTGAGCTCGAAAAATTAAAAATCCAAAAATCGAAAAACTGAAATTGGAAACTTGAAAAATTTTAAATTAGAAAAAATCGGAAAATCAAGAAATGGGATAATTGAAAAAGGTTTTTGAAAATTTTCCGTTTTTTTCATTTTTCTATTTCTCGCTTTTTAATTTTTCGATGTCTCAATGTTACAAATTTTCATTTCTAATTTTTGAATTTTTCAAAATTTCATTTTGATAAATTTAGCCCTTTTGTTGAAAAATTGGAAAGTGAA